TTTTCAACTGCTTTAAGACCCCCAGTATCTTGCTCTCCAAATTTTCCCCCCTACTATTGCCTCCTTCCAAAATTGTCCAGCTTGAAATCTATGGTAGGTCACTAACATCTTAGACCATCTTTTGCCCAGAGATCTACAAATTATCAACTTTAGACAATCCTGAAACATTTCCTCACTGCTAGTAAATTTAGAGACAAAGTACACTTAGAGAAAATACAACTGTTATGCAAGTAACATGCTTTGAAAATAAAATGTTGACTTCTAAAACCCACATGATCTTTAACGTTAATTTATTAACCATTCCATCAGTATATATCAGTCAAGGGGAAGTAATAAAATACATTTTTCTCTTCTGAGATTAAAAAAAAATGCCATTAATTTTTCCCAAGAAACATTGAATGTTCACACTGGCTTCAGCTACACACATGAAACCTGGAAATATTTCTCTAAAAATGTGATATTGCATTGATGTTTGGGTGAAAAGTAGGAATTACTTCTTGAAGCATGAAAGTGTTGGGAAATTTCACCCAGTCAGCATTTATAAATGATTTGGAGTTCCATTAAGTTTTGTGTTTTAATGAAACATATTATGGTGAGACTTGAATTCACAAAGTAAAGTAGGGAGTTGGAAGTGTTGTGTACTAAGAAAGACAGGCACCTTTAGGGGCAAATTCCTATATTTAATCACCTTCAAAGTGTCCTTCCCTTTAGTTTCAGCCAAAACTATTTGGAGAAACTTGTGAAGAACCAGCCAAGATAACTAAGGTCACAGAGCCACTCCCACTTTTTTCTGTTAGGCACATAGAGTAAACTTAGCTCACTATAATATCAAATTGAGCATGTCCAAGAAGCATTTGTGTCCATGATATTTATGACCTGGAACTGGCCATACCTAGAAGCATTTTTGTCCACCATATTAACCCTTTTATTGTGCTCTACAAACTTGAGCTGCATGAACTAAAGTCTATGAACTAAATACACACAAAAATGTGTCCACTATTTTTTCTTCCTGCATTATGATCCTGTACTGAACATGCTCAGAAATGTGCTGCCCCTGAAGATGATCCTATAAGACAATGTATACGCTCCTTGGAAAAAAACTTTATGCTTCCCTTCTTTGGTGAGAACATCACTTTGGAGATAATTTCAGGGCTCTCCTTACTCACTACAGGTAATAAACCTCTCTCCATTAACTTATCTTCTGGTTGTACTCATTGGCTTTGCATTCATCCAAAAGAGAACCCAGTGCATTCAGTTACAGAAGGGGAGAAATTAAGGAGATAATTTTTCCTTTGCACATTACTTGATGATCCTTCTATTGTGGCCTTATATTATTTTCTACTTTTCTATGGTCATGTATTCACATTCATTTGTCTTGAATCTTCCTCTGCCCAAGTCATATATATTCGCTTCTCTATGATAGATGTTTCCCTCCCACGTCTCTGCAATCTTACCTGCTTATCAGTATTTTTCACTTGTCCCAGCCTCTGCCTACAGTCCAGTCTCTTAAATCATATTTATTTATGAAAATTTTCTTATGAATAACCAAGAGATATCCAAATTCCATATATCATTTGACTTTTATCAGATTAATAATTAGAAATAGGCTATTGTTCTAATGGTGAGGAAAATTATTAACTGCTACTAACTATTCAATCATTTAAAGTAAGAACCTCATTCAAATATTTTGTAAAAAAATATTCACGGTCTTAATTTTACCTTCACTATCTCATCAATTATGTAATTATGAAGTCTTATAAGTTTTACTTCCAAATATTCTTACAACGTTTTTTCCTATAATCTATCTTATATATATGTGGGACTCAATTAGACTGAACAGAATTGAAAACTAGCATCAATAATGATTAAAAAGCATTGAAAGAAACAGAATTTATACAACCTCCATACACTTAAGTGTTATTGTTCTTATAAGTAGTACAATTCTGTTGAAATCTGGGACAATAATAATATACAAGAAATGAACAGACTATTTTAAGAGATAACCTGTTCCATGTTAGTATCCTGAAAGAACTAAGGAAGGTGATAAAAAGAGAGTGTGTGAGAAATTATTATAATGGTTTTGAGATAGGTAATCTTCTAAACCTAAACTCAAGGATCAAGATGTATCTTTTATCAAATAATTTATAGCACTATACCTTTTCTTTTTTCTCTAACACAGCATTTTCCTTGCCGGAATCAGATGTTCTGTTAAATTTAAGTTCTCTGAGCTGTAAATGTTGTTCTCTCAATATGACAGCATTATGGTCTGTATTGGGCATTTGCTTCTGTTGAGATTTGGAAAATTTCAGTCCTGTACTAATGCCCTCTTGTTTATTTATTATGCATTCATTTTGCTTATTCTTGGGTATTTTCTCTTTGAAAAGGCTCAAACAGCTTTAGATCAATCTTGATAACTTGCCTCTTTTGTTTTTTAATGTCTGCAACAGAACGTTAAAAAGAGTTAAGTATTCATTGTACACTAAACCAGTGAACAATACTTAGTTTTGAGGCATAAGTGTTTATGTATGATGTTAAAGGGATGAAATAAGGAAAAATGCTAATCTAAATCTTTCT